AATCTGACCTAGGGATAAAATGTTCCCAGAGACACAATCTGGAAAAGCCCCACCTGTGCCTGGTGTGTGATGTGTGAATCAAGCCAGTAAACAAGATAAGCACATACCATGGTAACCATCTCATACCACTCAGGCATCGCATAACCTCTGTTGTAGTGTGTGTGTGTGTGTGTGTGTGTGTGTGTGTGTGTGTGTGTGTGTGTGTGTGTGTGTGTGTGTGTGTGTGTGTGTGTGTGTGTGTAACATGAAAGACTGGGTTTGACGTATTAAATCAAATGTTACACTTCAGTCTACAGATTGCAATAGATCATTGCTTCACTCCAACACTAACGTGCGGATCAGGCTAACCTTTTGACATCTTGTATGGATGACATCACACATACAGTAATTCCATTGAAATGTTTATTAATGTAGGTCGTAATATCTTTGACCACTTACTATATGTTTTTCGTCTGTAAAAATGTAGCTAGAAACATTTAACTTCACACTAGGGCTGAACGATATATCGTGTCATGGCGATAACCGCGATATGCGCATGCGCGATATTCACAACGCCGTAGGGTTGGGTACCGAGAACCGGTTCCAACATTTCGATTCCAACGGCATCATTTAATTCATGTGAATTTTGGTTCCGCTTTTCGATGCCTGAGGAAATGTTTCTCGCCGCTCTCCGTAGCCTACTGTATGACTGCGGCGGGGCGAGAAATGTAGCGTTGTACCTACACTTCCTACAGCGTAACCTGAGACCAGGGCCGGCCCATCCGGGCCCATCGCACTGGCGTTATAGATGTTCGCCTAGGTCACCAGATCTGTGGAGGCGCCGCGCTGACAGCTCTGGGAGGGAAAAAAAAAGTTTTGACCGTTGGTGCTCATCCTAATTTTCGGCCTTTATGTAACAACATTCACTTTTTCACTTTTCATTTGCCCTGTACGATGGGCGCTCTAAGTAATGAAAATGGGGGATGTTGGCTTATCTGGCACCCGCAGCTCACAGCCAAAGTGCGAGTGAGCGAGCGAGGGAGAAAGGGAGGGCGCTGTTGTTATTAGCATCTGGTGCTAGCTGCTCTAACGGAAGAAGAAGATGTTTCTACAATGATGTGGAGGGAGAGTCCTCTCCAGTCAGACTGAGGCTGATAACTACAGCTCAGTGAGGTAAAGGACTCTGAGTGTTTAGATAGTTCACTTTAGTCTAAGTTATCTCAGTGGATCTCAAACGTTTTGATCACAATTTATGTAAACACATATTTCCAAGGCACTCCTTTATAATTAATAGGCACATTCACACCGCAGTACTTTTCCCACAGAGGTTCATGAGAACTTAGTTCATGAGAACTCTTTAGTTCTCATGAACTAAGTACAGATCGCGTTCACACCGGAATAAGTCCCTGGGGGTGGATTAGGCAAATGAAGCCGCTGACGTCACTTCTTCTTCTTCTGCTTTGGGTTTACTGGCAGGCCGCAAACCACTTCACGGCGTATACTGCCGCCCAAAGTCCCCGGCCGAAAGTCCCCGGAGTTGGGGACTGGCTTCTACTGTTAGCTTCACAAAACTTTTTGGGAGTTTTACGGGGCGTGGTTTGCAATCCGCCCAGCCAATCAGAAATATAGCTCTTTTCTCACAAGAGAGCCGTACGAAAGTCCCTGCTCTCTAGCAGCTCTCTGCTCTCTAGCAGGGACTTTCGTGGGGGTAAAAAGGTTCTCATGAACTCATTTTAGTACCGGCTCTTTTTGGTGTGAACGCGACAAAAGAGTTCTCATGAACTAAGTTCTCATGAACCTTTGTGGGAAAGGTACTGCGGTGTGAATGCGCCTATTGGGATAAAACAGGTTTTAAATCATTCCAATGTATACTATAGGACAGTAAACCAGACTTATCGTTTTAAACTGGAGAGATAAAAAAATATGCATAAATAAAATAGTAAAATAAGATATGAATGAACAACAAAAATAAAATACGTTACATGTATTTGTTATTGGCTATGGTAGGTTATTGGTTATGTTCACATACTTATTTGATTATTAAAATGTAAACCGATCTTTTTCATATGGGTGTTTAGAGTTGTACCCCCTAGATCTAGTCTCTAGTCATTCTGCTTAAAGTGCACCAGATTGAAGCATTTTACTTTAAAATGTTCAAACATTTCTTCCCGGTATGCCTGAGAAGGCAGATTTGCTTGTTTTTCTCAACAAGAACTGTTCTTTAAAAGTTAGACTGTTGCACTGTTGTAGCTTCAGTGGTTCTCAAGTTACAGTTACATAGCAGTGAATATAAACAGACTGATTAATGTGAATATTACTGTAAACTAACCTGTGTAAAAGTTTCTCAAATAAATGTAATTTTTTTGGTGGAAGAAGCATATATCGTTTTTTTTACCCTGCCCCTCAAAGAATCGGAATTGAGAACCGTTAAGAACCGGAATCGGAAAGTAGAATCGGAATCGGAATCAGAATCGTGGAAATTCAAACGATACCCAACCCTACACCGCAGGGACGTGCGGTTTTATTCATTTTTTAGGACGTGCGATAACCTCTTAAGCACGGCAGTCCCCCCAGTTGAAGCAATTGTTTATAATCCATAATTCCCTTTTTATGTAAAAATCGGAGCACAAAAGTTAGCTGCTAATGGTAGCCACCAGAGTGTATGCAGCTTCCGGTTTTGGCTACGCGTCACTCTCACTCCTTATTTGTTCATGTGTTGGTGTGTGTAGAACTTCCCCTCGATTCTATTGGCTCTAGCGGTTATAAAGAGATTTCATTCGTCAAAATCGACCAAGGGGGGCCAGAGATATGGAAAATCCACCCAAATGACCCCAGAAGTGTTTATTTTTTGCTAAATCTCTTTAAAAAGGTCAAATGTCAGTTGTTTTGCATCAATCTTGATACAGGGTACTTATTATATGTTGTACTTTGGATTCCTAAAGCTTTTAGTCTACTATCCCATCATCCAAGGTTAGTTTTCACTATAAGTACAAAATAATTTTCGAATCCTTCATCCGGTTAAATATAGTTAAAAAAAACGCAATATATATCGCAGGGGGGGAAAAAAAATCGCAATGTCAGTTTTTTGCAATATCGTGCAGCCCTACCACACACACACACACACACACACACACACACACACACACACACACACACACACACACACACACACACACACACACACACACACACACACACACACACACACACACACACACACACACACACACACACACACACACACACACACACACACCACACACACACACACACACACACACACACACACACACACACACACACACACACACACACACACACACACACACACACACACACACGTCGAGAGAATTATATACTGCTGCAGGATGTCAGACAAAGCTACTGGCTGCATGCTAGTGTTGTGTGTGTGGGGGTGAGTGTGTGTGTGTGTGTGTGTGTGGGTGTGGGTGAGTGTGAAGCAGTGGCTCTATTTTTTCAGGGTGAATGCTGCCAACACATCCAGCTCGTAAACCACACAATCACACAATCATTTGATAACAAGACAGACGTTTTCTTTCAAAATGGCTTCATGTGGTATTTATGCAGCTCATTTCACAACAGGAAGACACTTCTGAATGCTGAACCCTCAGGCATACACGACACATGCAACTGCTTTACACAGACAGAAAACACTGAAGGATGACTAATGCGAGTCAAAATTCATGTTACTAAAAGTAACATGAATCTGCTTCTTTGATTCTCAGTAAAGAAAAAAGATCCAAATGGAACATTAACATAGAGGTCACAAAGGAGTATTCACCATTTAGGAGATAAGTGAAGGATCATCTCTACTGAACAATTAATTAAAGTCCATTATGTAACTGCATTTAGCTAACCTAATGCACTGTTAAAATAAAAATAATTATATTCAAATAGGGCATGAAAGGTATTATGTCAGAAAAACCTCTGATCCAAACCGTCAATCCATTATTAGAACAGCAACTGCAAATCCGTGTCCTCATCTAAGCATTTAAGTGAATGGAGTCAGCAGATATCCGGGCCTAGGATACTTCAGGCAGTGACAAAGACCTGTTACATGCTCTTGGCTTGTCTCCACTTCATTAAGGAGTCACTGCTGTGGCTGGAATGAGAGGAAGAGATAAGGTCTCAGAGAGAGAAGTGTGGAGAACTATAGGCAGATCCCAACCACTTGTTATGCACATTTCCCTTCCTTTCCATCCTATTTAGGCGAAATGTGGGCTGGCATGCCATTGTTTGAGGCACGCAGGGAGATGTGAGTGTGTGGGCCATTAGGGTTCTCAAGCTATTCAGAAGATTCCTGAAAAGAAAATGAAAAAATGCTCTAATCCAGGCCCATTTCTGAATGTCTATAAAAAAATATATATAATAAGCCAGATAACCTAAGAGTTATATTTTTTCTGCACATACCTCTGAGGCTTTCCCATCCTCTCTGAGGGGGGCAGGTGGCAGCTGCTCTGCCCCCCCCCCCTGCCTCTGACTCTCTGGCAGACAGAGCCAGCAGCAGCCCACACTACTGCCTCTAACATTAGCAACGCTCCAAGAGGAAAAGCCATGTGGAGCTGCCCATCACTTCCAACTACACAACACATAACACACTCAGCTCCCATGTGATCACACTCTTCTTCTTTCTCCATCTTTGCTATCATACATACAGAAAACAGATCGGCTGGGAAAGAAAGCTACTAGCCTCAAAGCTTATCATAATAATGGATCTCCCTTTGGAACCTTAAACATCACATTAGTTCCCTATCTTTGACTCTTAAGTTTCGATAAATGATTAAAGGGGGACAAAAAGAGTTCCCAAACTGACCGTCCTTCCCTCTTTGTCTGGGAAACGTAGCTAAAATACAACTTCCCTTCTGCACAAGAATGTGACTCAAACTTATGAAGTGAAAGCTCTTCTTTACGCAGCTTGACTTACTGAACACCCCCTCTGGAAGCAACCACTAGCTGTTAAAGCACACAAAACACACAAAGAGAAAACACAGGAAGCTTACCTCACTTTACAGCAATGTACAAGCCGCTCAGCAATCCATCACCCAGCACTATCCCTTAAGTCTAAGTTGGTGGGAGCAGCTGTAGCAGCAGAAGAAGGAGCAACAGGCGCGAATAAACGAGATCACCACAGAGAAACAAAGATGAGAGCAAGAGAGAGAAAGTGAGAGAGAGCAAGAGAGCGAGGGGGAAAGAATAGCAGAGGGGGGAGGAGAAGAAGGACCGAGTGACTGAGACAGAGCTAACGGTGACTGACAGACTAGCAGAGACTCCGAGTCTGAGCAGGAGGTTTGCTGAAAGCCAACAAACTAACTCGCTCCTCTGCCTGCCTCTCCAGGTTGACGTCAGAGCGGTCACATGACCCTGCTCTGGTGTGGAGGGGGAAATGAAAGGGGAGGGGAGACAGAGAGACAGAGAAAGACACGGAGAAGCCTATGTTGCCCTGGTAACAGGCACACTGCACTGCAATGATTTCAATAGGTCATCTGACACACACATGCACACACAGATGCACGCGCACAGGTTCTTACATACAGACAAAAGACAAATATAGACAAAAAGTCTTTACACTAATAAATGAAGAAATCATTTAAGAAAGTGATACAAAGTGATACAAAGCACATCAGATTTCCTTTGAAAAAAAAAAATGGTTTACAGAAAAAAAAGGCAGTTAAAGAAGGAATGTGCACCAGATAAACGCCGCTTTTAAACTCTGCCTCTGAATAAGCATTTTGTTTTGCTCTTTACTCCAGGTTTGTTTGAACTTTAAGGTATGACCTTATTGAGGAGCAATGGTGCATATTAGGGGCATTTTATTGTATTGTTTGGGCCTTTCGAAGTTACTATAGAACACAATTCCATATTTTGTCATGATTTGGGTCAAATATTGAAAAGCTTATTTTGCCAGAACAAGAGTTCAGTTATTAGAAATGGACTTTCTCTGTTTGTCCCTCTGAAATGCCCAAGCATGGTCAGTCCTTCATGTCTCCAGTGATTTCTTTCAAGAGATGACTGAGAAGATAACAAAGGTATAAAGAAATATGGAGAAGAAATGAATAAGAAACAAATACACTTCATTACTTTAGGGAAGTGGGGAATAGAGAGACTGGAGTTTCAATTGCATTTTATTTCATTTTTATGATAATACTGTGGGACAAGCTGAGGAACAACACCTGAACAACTATATCACATTTCAACAATAACACTTTGATTATCAGCCAATCAACAGGGGGATAAGGTTATGATCACGACTTCATGCCTCATTAGCAGAGTGGAGACTACACAGATGTTGTCTCTGTCAGAGGTAATGGTGCCTGCACTCTTTCGGGTAGCAGTGTTTGTCAGAAAGATTACAGAAAAGTATATCTTTACACAATAACAGACTAATACTCAAGTAGAGTGGAGGCTGCATAACTGTCAGTGAATAATTAATTAAAGCAATATTTTATACACTTATTTGATTTCTTGCCGGGATAATGTTGATACAACTACAGTATATGAAGCTACAACCAGCAGCTTGTTAGTTTAGCAAAAATGGAAAATACCAATCAACCACATTTGCCATCAACACTGGTTGGATATCCGCATATTTTCTGGCAAATCTTCCTTTTAACATAAACACTGGAAACAGGAAAATACATTGTTTGGCTCTTTCCAAAGTAAAACAATATTTACTTGTCAGCACCTCAGTTCACCAAGTAACTCAATATATATATTTATATATATATGCGTTACACTCCAGAAATATACAGTCACTGCTTCGAGCCAAGTAATCCTTCCCCTGTTAAACCGCAACCTGTTATTTTCACACTGTGGTTTTAGTACAAATTTAACAAACGGCATAGAAAGTGTTTTCCTGAGAGGTGAGATCAGTTGTTTACCTTTATGCTTAGAGAGCTGGCAGTTGAGTAATTCAGAAAAAGCACTCCAAAAACAATTCTAATTTGAGGTTAGTCAGTTTGCCAGTTACAGTGCATAAACACAAAATGAACTGAATATACCATTTCTATTGACATTATAATGGCCTCCTTCTTTGTCTATCACAACAGACATCCAGACAACAGAGAGACATTCTGCAGCATGTTAATACTGTATATGAGGGGGGGGCCACAGTCTGAAATGTTCTCTTGCAGAAGGATAATGTATCCAAACAACAAATTGCATTGCTTATTGTAACAGTACAAAGAGTGATACCGAAAGCCTTTTTGTCCCTTTTAATCCATTCTATGAATTTGTTTAAGTATTGCATTTGGCGCGTTCACACCAAGTACTTTTCCCACGAAAGGTTCATGAGAACTCTTTAGTTCTCATGAACTAAGTACAGATCGCGTTCACACCAGAAATTAGTCCTTGAGGGAGGATTAGGCAAATGAAGCCGCTGACGTCACTTCTTCTTCTTCTGCTTTGGGTTTACTGGCAGGCCGCAAACAACTTCACGGCGTATACTGCCGCCCAAAGTCCCCGGCCGGAAGTCCCCGGAGTTGGGGGCTGGCTTCAGTAGAAGCTGCTGGGACTCCCAGTCTCTCTGCGTTTCTGCGCTGGGCTAATGCTAATAATGCAATGCGAGGATAATAAAATGGCGGTTTCACAAACGTTTTTGGGAGTTTGACGGGGCGTGGTTTGCATTCCGCCCAGCCAATCAGACACAGGAACCTTTTTCTCCCACGAAAGTCCCTGCTCTCTAGCAGGGACTGAAAAGGGAGTAAAAAAGGTTCTCTAGAACTAATTTAGTTCCTGGGACTTTTTGGTGTGAACGCAACTAAATCGTAGTTCTCAGGAATCTTTGTGGGAAAAGTACTTGGTGTGAACGCGCCTATTCAGTGATGCAAACACAGGTATGGTGAAAAGAGAGAGAACTATTCGAAGCAGAAAAAAAACAGCGTAATATACCATCTGACAAAGGCCTGTGCTATAGTGCTTCAATTAACTGCTATTCTTTATAATATACTCAGATCAATAGGAGACAGAGATGTTAAGTTATAAATCAAGGGTTTTTATTATTATTTACAGCAGGGGTGGGGAACCTTTTTCCTTTACATTTTTACAACATCCTCCGAGGGTCGTACAAATGATTGAACTCAACCTCTGCTTAAAAAAACTAAAATCACAGCCCATTAATTTCACCTTTATTTCATGCTGTGCAAAGAAAAAGCAAACTCTGAATCCAGATATCTCACCATGACTCACGCATGCATGCATGTGCACGGTGTGGCATGACCACCAACACAGAAAGATATGGACGATGAAGATGTGTGCAAATGTATTTAGTATCCTATCCATGTGAACATGATTTAAGTGGGGGGGGACCTAACCTCCTCTAGGGGGGTCCGGGGGCATGCTCCCCCGGGAAGATTTTTGTTTAAATATTGAAGTTAAAAGCATCAATCTGGTGCACTTTGAGAGCAACATGAGGAGATCTATGGATACATCTCTCAACACCATATGAAATAGAACTGTGAGCAGATTTTTCTTTTTGGATATTTTACAAATCACTCCCCTTTTGAACTCTATTCTTGTTATCTTTAACAACTTTTTTGTTACTGTCATATAGTATTTTATACCTGTTTTTCATTTAGTCTCATTAATAACTATAATGATCATATCAAGGTGTGCCTTAACCCCACTGAGCTGAGGTTATTTGAGCCTCTCAGGAGAGAGCTCTCTTCCACCTCGGGACGGGTGGCGCAGTGGTCTGTGCATCCGATCATCAGATCAAGGGGGAGTGCTGGGGAACTCCAGTTCGAAACCCGCTCCTGCCGCCACTGCGTCAGGCCATTGTGTCCTTGAGCAAGACACTTCACCCGGATTTGCTCCTGTGGGTATTGTCCACAGTACATGTATAATACCAATGTGTACTTGTCAAAGCGCCTCGATGACCTCGAGGCGTGAAGATGGACGGTGTGGCGCAGTGCGCTGTGCAATGATCATCAGATCAAGGGGTGAAACCCGCCGCTGCTGCGTCTGTAAAGCCGGTGTGTCCTTGGGCAAGACACTTCACCTGAACTTGCTCCTGTGGGTATTGTCGACAGTCTCTGACCATTGCATGTAATGTGTAATGTGTATATATGTAAAGCGCTTTGAGTCATTGAAAAAGCGCTATAATAAATGTAAGGAATTATTATTATTATTAATTATTAATTAATTATTACCTGGTTGTAGAAAAGCTCTTTAAATTCGTTAGCATAGCTAGCTAACCAGATGCTAACAACAACAGATCACCACTGTGCTTACAACTAAAGACACAGCCACTGAAACACTGTGGCATGTGTACGGCTCCTTATGGGTACTGCAATATTTGAAGAGCTGGAGCGGCGTTCCGGTGCTCTCCGTCAGCACTCAAGTCTACACTCCTTTCAGACGAGACATAACCACGTGAAGACACGTTACGCTTGTGTTGTGTCCTTGGCCAGGAAAAACAGGCACTCGCTTGTTTAATTATTTTGCAATCTAGATTTCTTCTAATTCTTTGAAGTGAGAAGTTGTCCGTCAGTCGGACGGACTGACGGACCCCCCCCCCCCACCAAAACGAAAACTCTTTGGTTCTCCACGAATTACACAAGTCACCCAAATCAGCGTTAAAAAAGCGGGAGGCGCCGAAGAGGGACTAATTCGTGCAGGCTTTCCAACAGTAAACTCATACGTCAAAATGTCACCAAACTTCCTCTTCCAAAATGTGCTGTGCATTGTGTCAAGTGTATCTGGGACAGGGCTTGAGTGTCAGACAAAGACTGGGGGAGGGGAGGGGGGGGTGCTAAGGCCACACACAGCAGACCCTCCTCACACCATCCTCCACTGACCTGTGAGTCTCAGCAGCTTTGGGCTGATTTCATTCATCTGAATAGCATCTGCTGGCTGCCTGAATGGAGCACCATGGGGCCCAGATTAGGGTGGGGTAGTGTGGAGAGTGGGGTGAGTTCAGCCAAGTAAAACACCCCCCCCACTGGACTGCTACAGTAGGTACGTACAGAGGGGTGAGCAGTACTCAGATACTTAAAGTAGAAATACCACAGTGTTAAAAAAACTCAGTTTTTAAGTGAGAATCCTGCATTCAGACCAGGGGAGACCGAGCGTTCTCATCGGTAGCCCCCAGGCTCTGGAACGACCTGCCCCCTCATGTAAAATTGTCGCCCACTCTTGAAGCTTTTAAGTCACGCCTAAAAACCCACCTCTTTTCCCTCGCTTACCAGTCAGTCTGAGCTATGTCTTACCTATTTGTATGCTTTTACTGTCTGTCCATAGCCTTTATGTGCCTTGTATTTATTCTTATGTGTGCTTTTTTATCTTTTCTTATGTGTGCTTTTTATCTATTCGTGTAATATTATA